GTCGGTGCCCACTCGATGGCACCTAACAATAACAACAAGCAAATAAAATTTTGTTGACGATAATTCTTTGCGGCAGTACATTGAAAGGAAAATGCCAGACATTCAAGGGGAATTCAGAAGGCATTGTGGAACGAGGGACGTCATTGCTGACGTCAGATGGAGCTTGGCTGAAAGCACAGAATACCAGAAAGATGTTTATTTGTGCTTTATTGGCTAGGCAAAGACTTTCGACTGTGTGGATCATAACAAAATATGAATAACATTGCAAAGAATTAATGTCCCAGATTAATTATGCTCAAGAGTCACATGTACATAAACCAAGAGGCAGTTATTTGAACAGGACAAGGGGACACTGAATGGTTTAAAATGTGGAATGGTGTGCACCAGGGTTGTATCTTTCACCATATCTATTCAATCTGTATGCTGAGCAAATCATCATCGAAGAAGCTGGAAACAAACAACCTGCAATATGCAGATGACACATCCTTGCTTGCTGGAAGTGAAGAGGACTTGAAATAATTACTGATGAAGATCAAAGAGCACAGCCTTCAGTATGGATTGCATCTCAATGTAAGGAAAACAAAAATCCTCACAGGAGAGCAACCAATAACATAATGATTCATGGAGAAGAGATTGAAGTTGTTTAAAGCTTCATTTTGCTTGGATCCATAATCAACACCCATGGAAGCAGCGGTCAAGGAATCAAATGACGTATTGCATTAGGGAAATCTGCTGCACAAGACGTCTTTAAAGTGTTAAAGAGCAAAGATGTCAGTTTGAGGACTAAGGCGCGCCTGACCCAAGCCATGGTATTTTCAGTCGCCTAAAATTCTTGTGAAATTTAGACAATGAACAAGGAAACCTCAGGAGAATTGATGCATTTGAATTATGGGGTTGACAAAGACTATTGAAAGTACCATGGGCTGCCAGAAAAACAAACAAATCTGTGTTTGAAGAAGTACAGCCAGAATGTTCCTTAGAAGCCAGGAAGGTGAGACTTTACCTCTTGTACTTTGGACATGTTGTCAGGAGGGACCAGTCCCTAGAGAAAGGCATCAAGCTTGGGAAAATAGAGGGTCAGCAAAAAAGAGGAAGACCCCCAACAAGATGGATTGACACCGTGGCTGCAACAATGGGGTCGGACATAACAATTGTGAGGATGAAGCAGGACCGGACAGGGTTTGGTGCTATTGTGACCAAAAGTGTCGCTAGGAGACTCGATGGCACCTAACAACAACAACATGAGTCAGAATTGACTCAAGAGCAGTAGGACATATGATTAAACCCATTTTGCAGTTGAGAAAAAGAGAGGGAGGGTTATCTGTGAGGTCACGTTCCTCAGAAGTTTCTTGTTCACGCGTCCATTCACATCACAGTATTTCAAATGACCCAATGCCTTGAACAGCACCTGACACATAGTAGGTGCTCAATATTGACCAAATGGACAGATGATTGAATTTGTATTGAGCATGTTCAGACCATGAGCTTGCACACATGTGGAGTTTAATAATGTGACTGGCACATAGTAGGTGCTCAATATTGACCAAATGGACAGATGATTGAATTTGTATTGAGCATGTTCAGACCATGAGCTTGCACACATGTGGCGTTTAATAATGTGACTGGCACATAGTAGGTGCTCAATAAATAAATATTGACAGGATGGATGGATGGCTGAGTTTCTCTACTGAACAACGGATGTGTTCAGACCACCAGCTTGCCCATACGTGACATTTAATAAAATGCCAGGCACATTGTTGTTGGTAACTGCCGTTGAGGGTTTCCAAGGAGCTGCTGGTGGATTTGAACCACTGACTTTGCGATTAGCAGTCAATTGCTTATCCCACAGCGCACCCCAAGCACATGGTGACATCTTTCCGCCCAGCCCCCATCTCCTCATCCCTGTCCCCCAAGTCCCCCAGAAAGGACACATTGGCTTCAAGAGTGGGAGGTGCCTTTATTTACCACCAGCCCTCAAGGTACATGAGGGAGGAGTTGATTCTTGTCCCCCTTCGCCCAGCCTCCACCCACCCACCCTCCCCCACTTTGCTCCTCCACAGACCTGGGATCCATTTACACCATTCAGGGCTGAGCCCAGATGAAACCAAACTCCCTGTTTCTACCCTTCCCTTGCTCACTGGAGAAATTAGGTCATTTACTTCTGGGGGACCCAAGTTGGAAGGGTCAGGAGGAGAATGGGGGCCACTTCTCTAAGGAGGCCAAATCATGTCACACCCACTATGGTCTGCCATGGCAGGGGAGGGGGCTTGAGCTCTGAAGTCCTGACTCTTGAGACTTTGAGGAGAGACGTGGTCCCTGAGCTGGGGGTTTGGGGGACTGGGGACTCAGGGGGTCCCTGGGAACAGGACCAGGTGTGACAGATACAGCAGATGGGGTGGACTTCTGGGGTCCCAACTGGGGCTTAGGGGATAGGGCTGGCTTCTGGAGGGTGGAGGAGACCTGTGGCTTTGGGGTCAAGGGGAAAGCTGGTGGGCATTGGGCTGGGCCTGGGCTGGCCTGGGTTCCATGTACCAGATCATGGGGCTGAGGCAGAGGCCTTGGGACTTTGCTGGGGGCTGGAGTTGGAGCTCTTGGAGGTGGACTTGGGGGCTGAAATTGCATTGGGGGCTTAGGATCAGGCTGTATGTTAGAGTCAACACCAGGGGTCTGTGGACAGACGTCATTTCTGGAGCGGAGCTGGATTCTTGAGCTGCTCTGGGTCGTGGAGCTTGGTTGAGTTCCAGAAAAAGACTGGGTTCTGGAATTCAGGAGGGCTCCAAGTCCAGACTGCATTCTTGGACTGGGCTGGACTTCAAAGTCCAGCTGGGTTCCAGAGTCTGGTTGGGTATCAGAGCTGAACTGAATTCTAGAACTGAACTGGGCTCTGGAGCTGGGCTGGGTTTCAGATCTGGGCTGGGTCCCAGAGCTAGGCTGGACTTCAAAGTTGAGCTGGGTCCCAGAGTCTAGCTGGGTCTCAGAGCTGAACTGAATTCTAGAACTGAACTGGGCTCTGGAGCTGGGCTGGCTTTTGCAGCTTGTTCCAGAGCTGGGCTGGGTTCTGGAGCTGAGCTGAGTTCCAATGCTGGGCTGAATTCCAGATTTGGATGGGGTCTCAGAACTTGGCTGGGACTCAGAGCTGAACTGAATTCTAGAACTGAACTGGGTTTTAGAGCTAAGTTGGGTCCCAGAGCTGAGCTGTGTTCCAGAGCTCGGCTGGGTTCTGGAGTTGAGATGAGTTTCAGTGCTGGTTTGGGTTCCAGAACTGCTGGATGGGATCTTAGCATTGGGCTGGGACCCAGAGCTGAGTTGGGTCCCAGAGCTGGGCTTGGTCTCAAAGCTAGGCTTGGTCCCAGAGCTGAACTGAATTCTAGAACTGAGCTGAGTTCCGGAGCTAGGCTGGATTTTGGAGCTGAACTGAGTTCCAGAGTTGGGCTGGGTTTTAGAGCTAAACTGGATTCTAGAACTGGGCTGCATTCTTGAAGTTATCTGGGTCCCCAGGCTGGCCTGTGTTCCAGAGCTGGGCTGCGTTCTAGAGCTGAGTTGGGTCTCTGAGCTGGGCTGAGTTCCAGAGCTGGTCTGCATCCCAGAGTCCGATGGAATATCTGATCCGGCTTGGGGTATGGCCTGGAGCTGGTATCTAGAACTTGGCAGTGTTTTAGAGACTACCTGAGCCCCAGAGATTGGTTGAGCTCCTGAGTGGGGCTGGACTCTGGGGTTGGGTCTGCTTTCAGAGCTGGGCAGGGTGGCGAAGCTTAACTCTGTCTCTGCACTGGTCAGAATCCCAGGACCAGACTGAATTCCAGAGTGGGGTGGAACCGTGGAACTTGGCTGGCTCTCAGCAATTGAGTAGGTTTTGGAGTTGGATGAGGTTTCTGAGCCAGTCTGGATTCCGGGACTGAGCTGAGCTTCAAAGCTGGATAAATCTCTGGAGCTGGACTGAGTTCTACAGCTAGGCCAAGCTTTGAAGTTGGTCTGGGTCCCAGAACTGGAATGTGTTCTAGAACTGACTTGTGTTTTGCAGGAAGAATGGGGCTCAGTGTTAAGCTGAGTTCTGGAGAGAGGTCTTGCTTCAGAAATGGATGGAGTTTCAGAGCTGATCTGAATTCTGGAGGTGGGCCTAGATATAGCACCAGGCGGGGTTCTAGAGCTGGGCTCAGTCTCAGAAACAGACTCATCACTGGAGCTGGACTGGACCCCAGGATAGGGCTGGCTACTTGTGTGAAGTTGGGTTTTAGAGCTCGGCTGGGATTTGGATCTGGACTGGGCTGCCAAGCAGATCTGGGTTCCGGAGCTGGTTTGAGGTTTTGAGTAGAGTTGTGTTTGAGAGCTGTCTTTGGACCCTGAGTTGACTTGGGTCCTAGAACTGGGATGCTTCTTGAATCTCACCTGGGTTCTAGAAGTAAGAGGCGTTCCTGAGCTGATGTCCAAGTTCAGTTGTGTCAAAGAGCGGTCTTGAGTTCCAGAGTTGGATTGAGTTTTATGGCAGGGTTTTTTCTTAGAGATGGGCTGAGTTTCAGAACTGGAATCAGTCTCAGAGCTTGGCTGGGTCTTAAAACTAGTCTGGGTTCCAAAACTTGACTTGATGTCAGAGCTTGACTGGATTTGAGAGATCAGTTTAGGCTCAGAGCTGGCTTGGGATCTAGAACCAGGCCTAGTCTCAGAGCTAGACCTGGTCTCAAAGCTGGCTTGGGCTCTAGAGCATGGCTTGGCCTCAAGTCTGGGCTTGGTCTCAGAGCTGGGTTTAACCTCAGAGTTGTCCTGGATTCTAGACGAGGGCTGGGTTTTAAAACCGGGTTGAGTTCTGGAGCTGGGTTGGGTCTCAGAACTAGACTGGTTTCTAGAACAGTACTGTGTCTTGGATCTAGACTGGCTTCTGGAGCAGGGCTGGGTCTCACATCTGGACTGGGTTCTGGAGCAGGGCTGGGCTTTAGGAGCTGACTGGGAGGCCTGGGGCAGGGGGCTGGGCCCTGGGCTGGGGCTGCACTCACCCCCAGGGCAGGCTAGCCACAGACCTCCTTGGCCTCCCCGATGGCGGCCCACACCTCCACCACAAACTCGTCCGGGAAGGCGAATTCTCCCAAGACGGAGTCTAAATGACGTGCAAACTCCTGAACACTCACTGTCTTCTTGGAAGTTTCCACCATGGTGGCCGCTGAGGCAGAGTGGGAGGGGAAGGAGAAGAGGGTGAGGGTACTCCCCAGGCCCAAACTTCACTGGGACCCCTCCCTCCTTCCCATGGACTGCCCTCCCTCCAGGGTCCACCCAGCTTACCCTGGCCCCTTACCCAGCTCGGGATCCCGAATGCCCATGTAACTCTCCAGCAAGTCATCAACCTTGCGGGATGCCTCTTCCTCAAATTCACTGGGCTAGGGGAGCAGGGAATAAAGTAGGGGTCAGAACCCTCCCTGGTTCCCCTCACCCCTTAGGTAAGAGAACATTGGGACCTCCCATCAGCCCAAAGAAGGTCCACCATGATCGTCCTGTCTCACAAGGAGGATCCATTTTGCAGGCAGGAAAATGAAGCTCAGAGGACAGGGTCTTACCCGAGTTCTAACCCACCCTGAGTCAGTAGCAGGAGAGTTCTAGATACCAGAGTCCCGGAAGACCCCTCTCTTTTACTTACCACTTCCTCCACTGTGGCGCCCCCCCCAGAACGAAGACGAAGGGTCTCCCTCCCACTGGTCACCTTTGCTTCCATGGGGCACTTGCTGCCCCTGCTCCGCTGACCAATCATATCTGGAGGAGACAGAAGGAGGGATGTGTTCTGGATGGATCTCCATCTTTGTAAACACATTTATGTCTTTCTAGAACCTTCTCTTTCAAAGACCTCCTTTTTGTCCTTGGGGCACATCTTCAAAGATCCTGGTGAGAATCCACAATTCCTGCCCCCAGAAAACTAGTCCAGACATCCAGAATGAGCCATGATAATAGAATGGGTCTAGAACCACAATGCCAATTCTATCTCACCCAGAATGCTTCCCCCAAATGCAATCTTCCCTCTTTTTAAAAAAAGAACTCCTCTAAGGCAGAGATGATAACGTGGAGAGATATATACCCTTTGGTTGGTTGATGATGCGTGGAGGGGATTGTAACCACGGCAATGAAATGATATACGATAGGATGAATGTAAAACTAATGTTCTCCCATGTAAACTATCACATAATTCCCAATAAAACATTAAAAAAAAAAGTACTCCTCTAGAGGAACCGCTTCAGACAGCCCCATGTGACCAGAAGGTCAGCCAAGAAAACATCTTGTTCCAGAACATGCTCTTGCTAATGTACAAGCAGAGGTCTCAGATTTCCTGCAGATCTAACACCCTATCCTGTCCCATCCTTCTGGGACCTCTCTCCAACTATGTCTGCGTATTTCTAGAACCTCTCGCTCTAGAACAATGCTACTTGAGAAGCCAATCCATGGTGAGATAAAGGCCTCGTGTCATGATGTAAACGAAAGCACTCAGCTTTCTTCCTTGAGAAAGTCTTGCTATTAAAAAAGAAAACTCAGCTACTTGAAAAAGATGGTATACATCCTAGATCAAGAGTTTTTAACTGGGAACAACTTTGCCTCCCTGGGTACATTGGAAGTATCTGTAGATATTTTTATTTGTCACAGCTGAGGAGGAGTACTGAGCTTACAATACACAGGACAGTATGTACTTCTAGAACAAAGAATGAGCTAGCCCCAAATGATCAATTGTGCTGAAATGGAGTAACCTCCTTCTCTCATCCCAAGATCAATGCTATGAATTGAATTATGTCTCCTCCTAAGTGTAAGTCCTGCGACTAGGACTTTCATTTGTCGCTGGAGAAGGATGTCATGCTGGGTAAGGTGGAGGGTCAGAGAAAAA